GTGGCCCATGTTCCCCAGGCACACCCGGGCCACGTCTAGTCGCTGGGTCTTCACACACATGCGCGCCATGTTCTCCCAGACGGCCTCGCTGTGGGATGGACAGGGTGGCTGTTGGGACTCCTGGTTGTGCCCCTCTCCCTTCACTTCACACCCTCTCCAGGCCAGACCTGGGACCCTCCCACACTGCGTCCCACAGCAGGGCAGACAGTAAGTGCTCGGTCACTTCTGTCCCCAAGGGGACTCGGTGGGGAAGCCCAGTCTGCGTCTCAGTGCCCACAAGTGGTTCGAGGGCACCACTGTGCAACATGTCCCCACTCACTGGTCTTTCCCGCCAGGACCCCCGGTGGCCCTGCAGACCGTGAGGGATGGGGCCAAAGACGGCTGTTGTGTCCAGATGGCCAAACTCTGGTTCCTTTGAGTGTGTCTGTCTGTCCCACGACAGCTCAGCCATGCCCGTGCCTCCGTACCTCACACAGTGTACACGGAGTCTCAAGCGCTCCACGTCACCACACAGGTGCACAGTCACGTGGTGTGCTCTGCAGTCACACATGTACACACACCACCGTTGCATCTGCACACAGGCACGCACTCACACCACAGGTAAGTGCATAATCACAGACTGTATACGTAGCCACATACGCACACGCTCACTATACAGAATCACATACACATTCTCAGGCTATCTACAGCCTCACACATCTGTACATACAGTCACACTACCCAGTCCCTCCTATATACACGGTCACACACTTGTACACATTCCCGTACATACAGTTCATCCTCTACATCCCATCTCCCACCTTGCACCCACACGACGCTGCACTCACACACGTACATCCCTTTGCTCACACAGACGCACACACCAACACAGCCACACAGTGTCTCTCACACACAGGTGGGGGGCCAAACAGCACCACCCCAGGGAGAAGGGTTCCAGTCACCTCCGCCTGCCAGCCAGAGGGTGGCATCTGAGGGGTGAGATCCCCAGGGCCTCAGTGAGATGGCAGGGAGTCTGGCAGGCTGGTTCCATCCAGCCCTCGCCGCTCGCCCTCCCAGGGTGGCTCACGAGGCCGCAGACAGCACTGCACACACACGCAGGGACACGCACGCCTGCACATGCCACACACCCCGAGGCGGCGGCTTGGGCCAATGGGGCAGACGGGCATCCCAAGGTGCCCAGCTGACTTGAGGCCTCTCCCCTCACATCCCAGGTCCTTTATCAGCACTCCCAGTGCCTCCTTCACACCTGATTCCTACAGGAATATGTCTCCTGCAGCTGGTGTGTGTGTGGGGGTGTCTTGCAAACAAGCCCAGCTATGAGAGGCCTGTCCCCTGTGGGTGACTGCAGTGGCCTTTCCCTCTGCTGGGCGAAAGCAGGGACCCCAGGGGAACTGCTGTGGGGCCATATACCTGCCTGTGTATGTGCCCCAGCAAGTGTGGGCTTGTGTGTGCACGGACACGCATGCCTGGGTGTGTGAGCACACCTGTGGGTGTCGTGTGGAGTGTGTGTCACACCGGTCACCACCCTGCCCGAGGCCCTTGGCTGTGGGTGCCTCTCCTCCCCGACACGGTCAGGCCCAGGGTCCTCTGGTGACTCCACACAGCACCGTGTGTGACCCGAGGACCCTAAGGTGGGTGCTCACACTGGTGATCCATCCCTGCTGGAGCCAGCACCCTCCACCACACCTACATGACCCAGCCTGCCGGCTGCCATGGGGTGGGGGGTGGCAGGCACCCTGTGGCCGTGTTCATTTTGACAGAGGCCGGCAGGCTCTGAAGTGGTCCGGGGGCACCCAAGGCGCACTCCAGGGCACCCGGGTCCTGCTTCCTCCAGCCTGCCCAGCAGCTTCAGGAGGGTAACTTGGCTCTGAGTCCTCCAGCCCTTTGTTTGGGGCTGACCAGGTGGGGCTGTCCTCTGGGACACGGCAAATAGGTGGGATGCCGATTGTCCCAGACCCACAGCTCACAGCCTCTAGCGGGCATAGCTAAGGATCTGCACCCTGGAGGGGGTGACAAGCGTGTGCATGTGCCTCCCCACAGACAGGCTGGTCGGGGGTGGGGGGACTGGGGCGGGGCGTGCTGTGTGCAGGGTGGGAGAGGTACAAGGCTTCTGTCCCAGGAGGTGGGCAGGAGCTTTAGGACTCAGCACTGAGGGAGGATTCTAGACGGCCCTGCTGGGAGCTTCCTCTGGAGCGCCCGCCCGCCCACTTCCCCATCTGCACTTCATCAAGTCCGAGTCTGGCACGGGGGAGTGGGTTGGGCTGGCCTTCTGGAAGAATCCACAGCCCCCTCCTCAGAGTTGGAAGCTGCTGCTGCCTGCGGCTTTCCGCCCCCTTCCCCAGAGGACACACCCACGACCTTCAACGTGGGACGGTGGGCTGGCCGGAGCTCTGGGGGTCTTGTCTAAGGCAGCCTGGCCCATGGTGGTGGTGACGGGGGCCGTGGGCAGGGGAGCATGGAGGTCTGGGTCGACGTGGGAGAGGGGCAGAAAGATACCCTGCTGCCACATCCATTAGACTCGTGGGACACAATGCCCCGTCCCCACCACGGCCCCCCCTGAACAGGGAGAAGGAGGGGCGCCTGGCCCCAGCCCCTCCCCCCAGGAAGCACATCCTGTTGGGGTCTGGCCGCTGTTTGTTGCAGTTGGCTACGCCCTGGGTTCACCAAAAACAGCCTCAAAAAACAAGCATTTCCTCTGCCCAGGAGACAGGGGAAGAGCGTGCTGGCCTGCACACACACACACACACACACTCACTTCCTCGCTGCGGCCCGCTGCCTCTGGGACAGCCACAGTGGCTCTGGAGAGGACACGGCTCGGACCGCTGGCTGCCGCGCCCCTGCCCGTCCCAGCGGTCCTCCACGGGGCCCCACGAGCAGCCTGCCCCTAGGAGTGTGGTCGCTGCTGCCCCCACCCCGGTTACTTCTGCTTCTTGCCGCCTGAAGCAGGGCAAAGATCCATTGCCTGCCGCCGTCCCCGTGCCCTGGGAAGGCCGTGCAGGACCCTGGGCCCCGAGTGCGTCCTTGTCCTCGGCATGGGCCCTGTGGCAAGGGCACCCTGCGCCGGCCTGGCCCTGCTGCAGGCGCAGGAAGAGGGGTGAGCGCGGCCCCGCGGAGCCCGGGCGGCCCTGAGAATGAGCGGCGACGTCCTCTAGCCGCTCAGCACCGGTCGTCCCCTCGGCGGTCGCCGAGTTCCCTGCGCGGCACTGCGGACAGCGAGGCCACGGGCCATGGCCGTCCAGAAGCTGGTGGCCTCTGCCGTGCTGGTGGCCCTTGTGTCCCTGGTGCTCAACAATGCGGCGGCCTTCACCACCCACTGGGTGTGCCAGACACTGGAGGACGGGCGCCGGCGCGGCGTGGGGCTCTGGCGGGCTTGCTGGCTGCCGGACCGGGCTCGAGGGGCCCCGGGGCCCGGGGCTCGGGCTGAGCACACCGGCGAGCAAGAATGCGAGGCCCTGGGCTGGGGCTCTGAGGCAGCTGGCTTCCAGGAGGCTAGGGCCACTGTCAAACGTAAGTCCGCTGGGGCAGGGGCCATGGGGGTGCGGGCCTTGAAACCCCATGGATTTCCTCTGGGACAGCCTCAGACACCCACCCGCTGGGGTCTCTGAGGGCTGATTTCAGCATAGGGGGAGGACCAGGGTGTGTGGTGGGGATGCCAGCCAGTCCCTGTCACGGGGGTGGGAGGTGGCTCCAGACGGGCTGCCTTGCTACTCTAGGGCAACTCTGAGGGGCCACCCACGACTCCACAAGTCTGTCACCCTGGGGCTGTAGGGCACCAGGGCTGGGGTGATCACAGTGGGTGTGGCCTTGGTCTCCTGACCACATACCTGTTCCAACGCCCGCCATGCCCACACTCAGGTCACAGGGAGAGCAGAGCAGCCTGGACCACCTGCCCACTGTGGCCTCACACCAGCCCAGCCTCAGGCTGCCCCCTCCTGGCCTTTGCAGAGACACGTGGGAAAAGACCTACAGGGTACTGGGCAGAGACAGCCTGAGAGGAAGGGCCAGGCTGAGACTAGATGGCAGAATCCCTTCCAGTGGCAGGTGCCCACCCAGGCCACCTTCCTACCCTGGCAGCCCGGGCCTCAGCCCTGCACCTGGCTGTCCACGGTGCAGGCTCCAGTCCTGTTCCCTCTGGGGGCCGAGGGACACTGCCTCTGAGCATATTGCGTAGACCACCCCACGCCCCCACCCACAGACTGGGCCTTGTTGCTGGGAGCCAAGGGGACAGACCTGCTGGACCTTCTGCCCGCGCCTAGACCTTTCACAGGCCCCCCACCAAGTCCCTGTGGGGCTGCTGACCCAGCTGCCTATGACCCCCAAGCCCCACCTGGGGGGGGTCCCTTGTACCCTACTCACCTGCTTCCGAGTCCC